ACCATGTAAAGCCCCAAGCTGCCTTCTCTGCAGGTCCTGTCCAGCTCTCCTAAGATTCACAGGCAGCCAATGGCTCCCAGACACGTCCATCAGATTGCCAGACAGAGAAGCGTGATTGGTCACGCCAGAGAACACGTCTCCACTTCTCTAGAGTCCAGTGGCGGCGCGCTTTACACCACGGCATCCCACGCTTTGCATTGCACTCGGTGATGTGCGGCTTGGATGCAGCTGCTCGGCCATGGAAACCCATTCCATGAAGCTCTCTACGCACTGTTGTTGTGCCAATCTGAAGGCCACATGGAGTTTGGAGGTCTGTAGCTACTGACTCTGCAGACAGTTGGCGACTTCTGCGCACTGTGCGCTTCAGAATGCGCTGACCCCGCTCTGTCATGTGACGTGGCCTACCACTTCGTGGCTGAGTTGCTGTTGTTCCCAGTTGCTTCCACTTTGTTATAATACCGCTAACAGGTGACCGCGGAATGTTTAGTAGCAAGGAAATGTTGCTGAACACCTGAATCCAATGATTTGGAGGGGGAGGGGCCCAATACTTTTGGCAATATAGTGTATCACAGAGTGAAGGGACAATGGACATGCAAACATTAACCTGCCCTATTCTTAAAGTGGCAGGAGTGCCTGGTCTTATCTAAATGATAATTTTCCTCCGCTGATCGCTGGAAGCTTTATATTTTGCCTTAGATTTGTTTTTACATTTCAGCTTGCGGTGCTGCAAGGCTCAATTAGAGGGCAATTTTGGTGGCACGGCTAATTTTGCACGGAAATTTGGGGAGATCTCATCAATAATCCGCATCCTCATCAATACTCCGCATCATCCATCATATAAAATGTACAGTGGAGTGTGCCCTGATCATGTGACCGCTGCTGTGGACTGTGACCCAGAGGACTGTGTAACCAGTGGCATGTTCTTCACAATGCCGTCCCATTTTGTGTAATTGAATCTTCATAAAATTGTGCATGAATGGTTGGTAGACGGCCTCATACACCTGCAAATGGGAATGTCTCCTGCTTAGTCTGTCTGTCACACAATGCGGGGGAACTGTACAATTAGATTGCGCCCTTGACATCCCGCCCAGCTCCTGGCAACCAATCACATCACTGGTTGCCAGGATCTGGGTTGGACGCCAGCCAGAGCAACCCAGGTTGCTCAGAACTGGGCGTGGAGATGTATAAGGACCGTACACATCTTCTCATCCATCTCTTAGCAACCTGGGAAGCTCTGGCTGGGGTCCCACCCAGCTCCTGGCAACCAGTGAAGTCATCAGATGTCAGCAACCAGGGACGCTCTGGCCAAGAGTCGGTCTGGGCGATGTGTATACAGGAGAGGGTTAGGGAGAGAAAAAAAAGAGAGAGAGAGTGCACAGTGACCAGTCACATGGATACTGCCACCTGTGAGATAATATTGGTGTGATGTACTAACCGTCTTGTCTCTACTGGGCAGAGCATCCAGGCGCTGGCGGAGGCCGGACCTTCATCCCAGACCTATTCCTACATCGACCTGTTCCGAACGCCGCGACTCCGGAGGATCTCTTTGTGTTCCGGACTGGTGTGGTGAGGAGACCCCCATTGTACTCATATTCATCATCCATAATACATAAGAGGGTTTACTGTACCAGGGACCCCCCGAAGGAACTGATGCTGCACCCCGCAGTCACCGCCCTCTAAATATCACTTACCGATCAGAAATTAAATTAATAATTGGCTGATATAAATTAACAGGATTTGCAATACCCCTAATCCTCCAAATTGACCCCCCCGTACATCACGCCCCAGCATTATTTTATCCTCTTTTACCTTGTCCTGTAGAAAGAAACAGCTTCTTTTTTTTACACCTTGGGACATTATCACCAAGCTTGAACAATTCTGATAGAGGCAGCTGCTAGGAGGTCAGTTCCTACTGACAAAGGCAAGCTCCCAGAACTACAGGTGAAACTCGAATAATTAGAATATCGTGCAAAAGTAATTGCAGTAAGTGCTGCAAAAGAGGCCCAAACCAAGTACTGAGTACATATGCATGCTTGTACTTTTCAGAGGTCCGATATTGTTCTATGTACAATCCTTGTTTTATTGATTGCATGTAATAATCTACTTTTCTGAGATTGTGGATTTGGGGTTTTCATGAGCTGTAAGCCATAATCATCACAATGATGACAAATCACGGCTTGAATTATCTTGCTTTGCATGTAATGAGTCTCTCTCATATATTAGTTTCACCTTTTAAGTTGCATTAGTGAAATAAATGAACTTTGCACGATATTCTAATTATTCGAGTTTCACCTGTACATCTCCCAAGACCTCTTTCCGTACACACGTTGTGTGAGCAGAATCATGGGAATGAAGGCAGTGGCGGGGTTTTGCTGGTAAAGACATCAATGTAATAGAAAGGGACATAGGGGCAGGGTATGGGTGCTCAATGGCCTCGGGGCAACGCCTCTAACATATGCACAGCATCAGCCTCCTTGGTACCGCACTCGGGGGAAGGTCGGTCAGCGCACTCGGGGAAGGTCGGTCAGCGCACTCGGGGAAGGTCGGTCAGCGCACTCAGCTGTCTCACGTCACTCTCGTCTCTCTCGTGTCGGCAGGTTTGCTGTGGCGTTCTCGTATTATGGCATCATCCTCGGCGTTTCTGGCTTTGGATTCGACCTCTATCTCACACATTTCCTCTACTCCCTGGTGGAATTTCCCGGCAAGCTGGCCATGTATTTCCTCATGAACCACATTGGACGCCGCTGGTCACTGTTCCTCACCATGCTCATGACCGGAGTTTGCATCGGAGTGTCTGCTGGGACCCCGCTATGTGAGTAGTGCTGGGGACCACAGACTGTGGCCTTGTCACCTTATGTGAGCTGAACTAGAAGCAAAAGCATCTCGTCTTTCTTTACTTCTCACATCAACTACCATTTATTGGAGAAGAAAAAAAAGGAACACAGGTTTGCGGTTTAGCCTAAGTGACAACCATGGCTCCTTCTGTAGATAAAGTACAGTAAGCATTGTCACCCAAGGTCAGGAAGAGTGAAGTCTTCCAGTGCCTCATCTCTTTTCTGTATGTTGGGATCTTATGATCTGTTCTCTCCTCAGCACTGGCGCCGTTCCGCACCGCAGTGGCCATTATTGGAAAAGGATTTTCTGAAGCCGCATTCACGGGGCTCATCCTGTACACAGCCGAGCTCTACCCCACCGTGATCAGGTACAGTATGGATCATTGGCTGGCCTGCAGGACGATGGATCCGCTGTGGTGGCATGTCCTTTTTCTTTTCTCTCTCTCCCTCAGGCAGAACGGCATCGGATACACTTCCTTTGTGGGACGAATTGGGGCCTCTGTGGCCCCTTTGATGCTCCTTCTGGATGACATCTGGCACCTCCTTCCCAAGACTATATTCTGTGTCACCGCTGTGGCTTGTAGCCTCGTGGCCGGTCTACTGCCAGAGACCATAAATGTGCCTTTACCCGAGACCATCCAGGATGTTGAAAGTAAAAGGTGGGCAGACCCTTCCTCTTTGTGGAACTTAGAGGTTCGGGGAGTCATCTTGTCCATCATAAAAAGGGACAACTGGGGCCGAAAGCTGGTTTTTAGGGCCACCAGGTGACCCACCAGCCTCATAAGGGGTTTAAAACTAGACAGTGGCAGCTGTGAGCTCCTATGTGGTCAGTATATCTGGATGCTTTAGACAATGTATCGGAAAGGGCTATGACAGGCCTTATTTATTAAATAATTCATGTGAAGTGCACGGTCACATCACTACTACGTGACAATGTTCCCGTCACAAGTACCCACCTGACATTTCCCTGGAGGCTCAGCTTTACTATAGGGCCAAAACTTTGTGTACCCCTGACCATCACATCTACCCTGTTTCCCCAAAAATAAGACCTAGTACTATTTTTGGGAATTGCTAAAATATAAGACCTACCCCGAAAATAAGACCTGGTTGTGACCATTCCCAGGGCCGGTGGTGGCATAAGGGGGAACTTGAAGAGCCGCGGGAGAGAATCAGCGGTGCCAACGAAGCCTGCGCTAGAGGAAGCGAGGCGGCAGCGGAGGGAGCAGAGCTGCATAAGCCGATGCCTCCTCTATAGCGCCGGCTCCTGTCACAGGTGGAGTCATACCAAATGCACTCCGCCTGTGAGGAATCCATAGCGAGTTTGCTCTTCACTCATTCTGGCCAGCGATTGGTTAGCAAATTGTTCTTGGAAAGGTACGGCACCCCTGATTGTCCTGATCACCATATTTTTGTACATGAATACATGTAGACTTTTCTACATGAATAAGTGGGGATTGTTGTACATTAAAAAAAAAAAATACAAGACCTACCCCGAAAATAAGACCTAGTGTGTTTTTTTTGCGCCAAAAAAAAAAATATAAGACTGTGTCTTATTTTCGGGGAAACACGGTATATGCTCCTGTTGGATCTCCAATGCCAAACCCATGGCCATCATTATGGAGTTGGCCTCCTTGTGGCTATAACAGCCTCCACTCTTCTGAGAAGGCTTCCACAAGAGTTTGGATGGTGTCTGAGATTGTGTCCATCTGTGATGTCTGCTATTGATGTGGGATTGGAAGATCTGGCTCACAATCAATGTACGAATGACTCCTCAAAGGTGATCAGTAGGGTTGGGGGTCAGGGCTCTGCTCAGGCATTCGCGTTCCTCCACACCAAAGTGGTCACACCCTGTCTTTATCGAGCTGGCTTTGTACACAGGGGACAGTCATGTCGGAACAGGAAAGGACCTTCACCAATCCGTTCCCACAGCGTTGGTAGAGCACGATTGTTTAAAATGTCTTTGTATGCTGTAGTATTAGGAGTACTGTTTTCTGGAAACTACTCAGCTACATCAGGAGTAGCCAAACTCCGGCCCTCCAGCTGCAGTGAAACTACAAATCCCATGATGCATCTCTCTCTGGGAGTCGTGGCTGTGAGAATCTTGCAATGCCTCATGGGATTGTAGTCCCACCACAGCTGGAGGGCTGGAGTTTGGCCATCCCTGAGCTAAATCATTCAGAGAGCAGTCCACGTACATCTGGTCATACAGTGTATATAGATTAATTCCTGATAGCATCATCATTTGCTAAAGATTGTTTGCAGGAGCTACACCGTGCTGTCCTCCAATGCGCCCTGTCCTAAAATCAGCAGGTGTAGCCCCGGGCACACAGGACTAGGATGAGTGCATCATTCTCACTGGTGTAAAAGGCAGTGATTGGCACCCATGTGCTGAAAAATAACATTTAATTGAGAGATTCAACCACGTACCTACATACACAGTCTAATAATATACGAGTCTTTAGGGGCCGATTAACCTGCCATAGGCATTGTAATTCTGTTCATTCAGTCTTGTGATTCACCCACATTTTCCACACTGCGCAGGCAGGCTGGTGACACCCCTATCTCCTGGTCCATCGCTGGGGCTTCTTGTGTCATCTCTCAGCCAGTCACTGGACAATAAATCATCATCATCCTCCTCCTCCTCCTCATCCTTGTCCAATGGCCAGTGAGGATCCCAGGAAGTGATAGTGATCTGCTAGCAGGTAGAAGAGGTCTCATAACATTCATCTATTTTTTTTTTTTGCTCACCTGGAGTTCATAGATAAACACGTTTGTTTCAATCCACCGATTGCCATAAATTTTGAAGTGGATCCTCGGCAGGCGAAGGGTCACTTTCAACACATTAGAGCAGGGATGGCCAAACTGCGACCCTCCAGCTGTGGTGGAACTACGAATCCCATGAGGCTTTGCAAGATTCTCACAGACATGACTCCCGGAGAGAGATGCTTCATGGGATTTGTAGTCTCACCACAGCTGGAGGGCCGGAGTTTGGCCATCCCTGCATTAGCGGAACCCTGTCACAGATATGGACAGTTCACACGATCAGCAGTAGATGCAGAAATAAGGCAGCTGAGTTTGCATGGCCCCTTCCAATACCTGCATATTGGTCCTTTAATGCAAAGGGTGAGAACGCCAACGAATAGGGAGGCTCAAAAATGTGAGGGGAGGGGCTAAGTTTGGTCTTTACCTAGAAAAATGAAAGTTTTCTGATTACTACAACATCCTGCATCCCTGGACTCTAAAGGAGAACTCTGCTCAGCTTTTCCAGAATATGCTTGACTGCTCGGGGACAGGTTCACTTTAAGTCAATAAAAAAAAAATCTTACACTAGCTGTAGACACATCAAGACTATTGTCTGGAAATCTGTCGGGTGCGTTATGACCATTTCCTGTCCTCTTCCTGCAGGGACTCCAAGCAGCTGAAGAATGGGGACACCCCACTCACCGAACTGCCACCAAGAAGCACCGGTTGACCCCGAGGGGGGGGGGCGGCACACTCTTCCAGATCTGTCAATGTGAACACTTTCCTTCTGCTGAATAAATAACAATATTGATTCCTTAAGCTCAGTTTGTACACACGAGATATTCATAGATACCCTGTTTACCCAAAAATAAGACCTACCCCGATAATAAGACCTAGTACTTATTTTGGGAATTGCTAAAATATAAGACCTACCCCCAAAAAAAAGACCTAGTTGTGTACCCGCCGATGAACAATGACATTGGCCCAGACTATGCTTCCACTGAGGGGTCAACTAGAACACAGAGACCGACCGGATTTAAGAAAGCTTAAAAATGAGAACTATGAGGGGGGGGGAGGGGCTTTTCACTCACCTCATAGTTCTAGCCGACCTGTGACAATGAGACTGTCACAGGTCGGCTCAGTAGATCGGGAGGTGAGAGAACACATACCGCGTTCACTCACCTCTCGATCCTGTCACGGCTCTCTGCCGTGACAGGGGAGGGGCTGGATTCCACCCTCCGATCCACCAGCGCTGACTGGCGGAACAGACGGGGGAGGGGACAGCTGGCTCTGCCTCTAGATAGGCAGAGCCAGCTGTCAGTCACGCAGCTGGGCGGATCCCGGCATAATTGTCGGGATCCGCTTCAGCTGCGGCGTCTCAGTATACCGCGAGCAGCAGCCTAGGGTGATGGGAGGACGCTAGTTTGTGTCCTCCCGTTACCCTAAGGAGAACTATGGGGAAAAGCCTTAACCCCATAGTTCTCCTTTAAGTGTCATACACTGATAGATTGATCGTATGCACACTTCCCAATCATGTTCTCACAGTATTTCTTGCATCTGCCCACCCACGGTGCGTCCACAGGCGCGCGCACACACACACCGCAGGAATACGGTGCACAGGAATACTCACATGCGGTGTACGGACACACACACACAGTGGCCCACTTAAGATGCATGGACACGATCACACACCACGTCCCACATAAGGTATATGGACATGCTCACACACAGCTGCACAGACACTTGCTCACACACAGCGTCCCACCTAAGGTGCATGGACACGTGCTTACAGTGCATGGACACATTTAACCACACCACAGCCCACATACAGTGCAGAGACTCACAAACACTGCAGCCCATATACTGTGCCTACACAAAAACTCACACCAGGGCTATGCACTGTGCCAGCTAAGTTGCCACGTGCTTAATGAGATTTTTTTTCCTAATGTTTTGGTGTATATTGATAACACTAAAGTATCTAAACCCAAAAACATATTGAGACAACGCTCACCCACCTTACTTTATCTATGAAGGAACTTTGTTATCGCTTTGGGACAGAACTCATCTCCATAACAGAGGGGGGAAGAGTTCTGTAGCTCACAGAAGATAGCTGGGAAGGCAGATAACATTGGTTTATATATCGGTTCAGTGCACAGAATGCTACAAGGACATTGGATTTCTGGCCCTGGCAACAAAAATGTTTCTAAAGCAGCCACCAGAGCCGAGGACTGGTACGATGCAACGTAATTTATGTGACTGGTAACTGAAAACCGTAAAAAAGGATAAAAGCCGTAATGGCAGCTGTTCTGTGGTCACAGCCACTTCATATATACATTTCATATGCAGCTGCCTGAAGTGGAACTTCCTGTGATAATTCTTCACCCGTGTATACCGCCAGCAGTACGGGAGTTTGTTGGCCTGAAGCTTTGTTCGGTTCACATCATTGCAAAGTGAGCTATTCGGGTTTTTTTTGGTGTATTTCAGAAGCAGTATTGGCAGCACACACTCCAGCGTTCACCTCATCAGAACACAATGCACAAAAGCCGCATTATCTGGATGTTTAGCGCACCAGCCAGGAATGTACATTTCACACCGAACTGCAATGTATGATTAGCGAGATTCAGGGAAAGAGTTTGCTGTGTGCGCATGCCACAGACATACCACAGACATTGAACTTGTTATTCATGTTCCCTTTAGACACCAGGCCATTGAATCCATAACACAAAAAGGAGGCTCCGTCATCCATACCTACCCCATGTAGCCACCCACCCCTGTCCGAGCACAGACAAGAATCCCAGTGTCTCCATCACCCAGCCACCCCCCCCAAAGATAAAATGCAGAAAAGAAAACAGGAACCTGATGTATGGAACGGGGAACTTTTATTATACATTTTATATCGCAGTAAACATTTCCTCTTGTAACAAGCTGTGCAGAGGGTCAGTTTTGATGGAGAGGTGTCAGTGAAGGCAGTAGGGCCTGGGCGGAAGGCCAGCGATGACACGGGGAGGGGAGGAGGGGCCAGCGACGGG